ATTTTGGTAAATTTAATTTAAAAATTATATTTTAATTAATAAATAACTCGTAAAATAGGAGAAAAATCGAGATACGCAGATAGATAGATAAATAGTAATTAGTGTTATAGTAAGGAAATAAGAAATTAAGAATTAAAATTTGTAAGTAAGCCATTAATCAATCATATTTTATTGGGATAGCTAGAATACTATCTAAAGTCCGGCCGCTGGCCGGCGTTATTGCCCAAACGTGACGTCACACGCTACATGATGTTGGCGTCAAGATATTTACCGTATGCCGCGTCTATTAGCTTTTATGGTCGAAGGTATATACTATATAGGTCAAAGGTACCCATTAGCAAGTTGTCTACCTGAAGGTCCTGAAGATAATAGGCAATAGCAAAACAACTTAAGAGGACGCTACACCCGCATACGTTGTTTCCGTCTTACAAGTGCGTAACATAGCAAATTTTATGCTCAGCAGATCCCGTTTAGCTCCGTTAGTTTAAAATTTAGAGTAAATTGACCTCTTACAAAAATTAAAGGTAACATTATTATAGAGGGCATGACGTAGGCTTTTTATTATATTTTAATTTTAAAGTGAGTTATGTGTATTTTAAGATATACAAACAATTTWMAATTTTAAAATACACATAACTCACTTTAAAATTAAAATATAATAAAAAGCCTACGTCATGCCCTCGATACCAATGTTACCTTTAATTTTTGCAAGAAGTCAATTTATTCTAAATTTTAAACTAACGGAGCTAAACGTGATCTGCTGAGCATAAAATTTGTTATGTTACGCACTTGTAAGACGGAGACAACATATGCAGGTGTAGCGTCCTCTTAATATAGCTTATTCTGTTATTATAAAGATAATTAGTATATTTAGGGCCAGTAAGTTGTACCGTCTACGGTTAAACTTCGATTACGCTTAGTCAGCTGATAACAGATATTTAACCGTGCAAATTCGACCGATTAAACTCCGGTTAACTTTAGTCTTTAATCAGAGACGGTATAACTGGCCCTTATACTCTGTCGCATAGGTTTGCTATTTTAGCCCCGGTGGTGGATGGAGGTCCCTTGAGTTCGGCGATCGGAGTCGCGTTACTTTTACTAACAAGGTTAAATTTACTCTCCCCCGAAAGGGGGCCGAAGGGGTCGCCCCCTTCCCCGCAGATTTGCTATTTTA